CTCAAGTCCCTCAGCCTTTCCTCATAAGACCTTCCCTCCATACCAGGTAACATCCTGGTAAACCTTCTCTGCACCCTTTCCAATGCTTCCACATCCTTCCTATAATGCGGTGACCAGAACTGTACACAATACTCCAAGTCATGAATGAGAAGATTCTCTGCTGATATTTAAGGCAAGGTGCATCATTATTTGAGTGATTTATGCTGTAAATATAGTATAACAGTGACAGGTATACCCCTCTATACCCCCTGCATTATGTTTCTATGATTGAATGTGTGTTTGAAATTGATTACGTGGACCTCTTCACCAACCTGTACACTCCTGGCCCCATAGGTGCTGTTAATAAAAAGTTTGCTGCATTAAAGTTTGACAGGATTACTTCAGAGAAAATGTTTCCATTTATGGGAGTGGGACCAGATCTAGGGGTTAATCAATAGATGACAGTCACCAATAAATTCCTTGAAGGCAAGTTTGGCACACTTGCCTTCATTGGTCCGTGCATTGAGTAGAGTAGTTGGTAGGTCACCTTGCAGCTGTACAGGACAATGGTTAGGTCACTTTTGGAATACTACGTTCAATTCTTGTCTCCCTTCAATAGGAAAGATGTGAAAATTGAAAAGATTTATAAGGATGTTGCTGGGGTTGGAGGGTTTGAGCGATAGGTAGAGGCTGGATAGGCTGGGGTTATTTTCCCTGGAACGTCAGTGGCTGAGGAGTGACGTTATAGAGGCTTATAAAGGTCATAAGGGGTATGGATAGGGTAAATAGACAAGGTCTTTTTTCCCCAGGATAGGGAAGTCTAAAGGTAGAGGGCATAGGTTTAAAGTGAGAGGGGAAAGATTTAAAAAGGGACCTAAGGGTCAACGCTTTCACATGTAGGATGGTGTGTGTATGGAATGAGCTGCCACAGGAAGTGGTGGAGGCTGATACAATTACAACATTTAAAAGGCATCTGGATGGGTACATGTCTAAGTACACGATGATCTGTATGTCCTTGTTTGCGGCGATCTACCTGTACTGCTCACAAAACAAAGCTTTTCACTGTACTCATGTCCATGTGACTAGGAAGGGTTTAGAGCGAAATGGCCCAAATGCTGGCAAATAGGACTTGATTAATTTAGCATAAATGGTCAGCACAGACAAGTTGGACCTAAGGATCTGTTCCTCTGCAGTACATCTCTATGACCAGAATATCTGATCAACTGGTACACTCCTGGTCCCATAGGTGCTGGTTAATAAAAAGTTTGCTGCACCAAAGTTCAACAGGGCAAAGTCAGAGAGATATTTCCACCTGTAGGGGGGCCAACCAGATCTAACCCAATAGACGACAGTCACCAATAAATGCAGGGATTTGATGTCTTCACCAAGAGCACAACGAGAAGGTGGAATCACTTCCCTAGGGAGCAGGTGAAGTTAATAGTGCTGATGCAGCAGTAGGTGGCGTTTAACATGAAGGATATGGTGATGGCTTAGCGGCAGCACGGGAAATCAGAGATAATGTACCGGGCAGGAGGAGACATACGAGGGGCAGAAGAAGCAGCGCAAAGTAGAAGGGCAAAGACGGCCTGTTCAATCTGTGGTTGAAGCAGGCCCGCAATCGCATACCAGCTGCCTACCTCCTCTTTCTCCTGCTTGGCTTCTTTGCGCTCTGCTGCGATGTTCTTCTTCCGGTGGTAGTTGAACTGCGTGTCCTCCTCAGCCTTCACCATCTCCTTCTTCCTCTTATCGTACTCCTGAGCCAGCTCCCCCGAGCGGCTAATCTCCTCAAACAGGGCAGTCCGCTCTTTGGGATTCTTCATGGCGATGGACTCCACCGCGCCCTGCGACACCAGGAACACCCTCATTACCTCCCGTGCATGCAGGTATGCGAACAAACACCAGACACACCGGATTTTTCAGCCAAAATGCCACTAGCTCCTTGGCTTAAAATCCTGGAATTCTCTCACTAACAATATGGTGGGCCAATTTACAGCATGTGAACTGCAGCGGCTCACCATCTTGACGGGCAACTAGGGGCAAGCAATAGGTGCTGATGCAGCCAGCGATGCCCACGTAACGAGTAGAGTCATAGAATCCCCACAATGAACAGAGAGGCCACTCAGCCCATCGAGTCTGCATTGACCGTCTGAACAGCATCCCACCCATACCCACTCCCCTATCCCTGCATTAACTGTGACTAATTCCCCCTAGCTTACACATCCCTGGACACTACAGGGCAGTTTAGCATGGCCAATCCACCAAACTTTGTACTGTGGGAGGAAACCACAGTACCTGGAGGAAATTCACAAAGACACAGGGACAACGTGCAAACTCCACACAGACTGTCACCCGAGGACTCTGGCGTTGTGAGTCAGCAGTGCTGCCACTGCGCCAACATGCCACCCAAATAATAACAAAAAACAAAATGGGATATTTGTAACTTCACTGGGTCAGTGACTAATGTTCTGGGACATGTTCAAATCCCACTCCTGCAGCTGGGGTGAATTCAAATTCAACTCTCAAATCTGGAATTGAAAGCTAGTCTCAGTAAGGACAGCTGCGATAACGATCATCAGTTTCTGCAAAAGCCCATCCAGTTCACCAATCTCCATTAGGGGAGGAAATCTGTCACTGTTACACTGTCTGGCCTACATGGTTATTCGAGGCAGAGAGGAAAAACCCAAAACGAGGGCAGTGAAGAGAGAATAGAAACCAGTCAGGGTTGAGAAGTGTTACCTGAAACACTAAGAAGTTACGGGCTTTGATGAGAATTCCCAGTTTCTCTAGCTGCTCACTGTAGTCCTGCAAGGGCACCACCTTGTTGTTGATCCTGTACTCCGATGAAGCACCTGGAAAGTTATTCTGAATTAGTGCAGTATTATGTTATGGGTTTGGGGATCTAAGGACAAAGGCAGATCTTCAGCAGCATCAGGAAGGCCGCTCCTGGACATTCACTACCTTCCTCCCACCAATGAATTAACGCATTTGAAGTCTTTCACTTCTAGCTAATGTCTTTATCTAGTGCACCATGTCTCAACGGGTAACGATATCACTTTGGAGTCAGAACAGCCGGTTGGGGGGAGGGGGTGTGTGTGTGTGTGTGTGTGGTGGGGGGGGTGAGTTGCCTGCTGTCACTCTGGAACTATATTCCAGGCCCGTAACACATTCAGTCAGTGCCAAGGAAGCACCATACTCTCATATGGCTAGCGCCCAAGGGTGCGCTGTATTGATGGAAGATGGAAGTGCCAAGGATGCACCACACTGTCAGAGGACCAACACCAAGGGAGTGCCGCTTTATTGAATGAGTAGTACAGGGATGGTGTGTAACCCGCTCTACAGTGTTGCACCAATCCAGTGCGCAAACAAATCTCACTGCTTCCCTTGTCTACTACTCACCAACAATGACCCTGGTGAACACCTTATCGTCACCAGAATCTTCGGCATACACCATGCTGACCAGGGCGCGGTTGGCTGCTGGCTTTCCCACTGGGGCTCCATGGATCAGGTCCTTCAGCGTCTTCACCCTCAGGTTACTCGTCTTCTCCGCCAATACAAAGCTAATGGCATCCATGAGATTCGATTTGCCTGATTGAAAGGCAAGCAGATCATCATTACTCTGTACAACACAACAGATTAAAGGCAGAGGGGCCAAGGGGTGAGCTGATCAAGTCCTTAAAAACAACAAAATGGTTTCAAGAGGGTAGAAGTCAAATTTCAAATTGTAGTGGGAGTCCGGGACTAGAGGTGGAGTTGGGGGGAAATCAATATGAGACATTGATAAGTCCAAACAGGGAATTTTGCAGAAATGCCTACGCCCAGAGTGGGCGAGAATGTGGGACTCAACAGGAATTAATGAGTTTCAAGCAGGAGAAAGGGGAGGAAGCTGGATGAATACACAAGGGAGAAAGGAATGGATGGATACATGCATGGGCTACAGGGGAGGATGATGGTTGTTGAAGTAGGGGGTGGTAGGAGGCTCATGTATACAGGGAAACCCACTCTGGAGAGATAAAAATCAGGGACCCATAAGAGGAAAAGCAGTGCAGAAATCCAGGAGGGCTACATTTAGTACCTCTTCTGCACCTCTCCAGTGCCAGTACATCCTTTTGCAACTAAGGAGACCAAAACCGCACATAGTGCTCCAGATGTGGCCTCACCAGCACCAAAGGACAATATCTATTTGCCTTCTTAATTACTTGCTGCATTTGCAAACCAACATCTTGTAATTCAAAAATCCACAGATAAAGACCATCGTGGTCCCCAGGGACTGGGGAGGAAAATCGATCAAGAGGATATGTTGGGCACATATTCGGAGGAATGCAGTAACCTCAGGATAACACCAATCCTCTACTGCACGGAACACCCCCCCTGCTTTCCATCTGAAACCAGTTCTTCAGCTTTTTAACTAAAAGCAGAAAATGGTGGAGAAACTCAGCAGGTCTGGCAGCATATGTGGAAAGAAAGTGTGTGATAATGTTTTGAGTTTTTTAGGACTGTCCTTCAGAAGTGAAAGGGTGGGATAATGGTTTTTTTTTTAAACTGTCAACTGAGGAAGAAGAGAAGTGAGTGCAACAAATGGTGAGGAGACATAAAGCAAAAGACAAAGGGAGTGCTAATGGTGGGAGAGAAGGGATAAAGATGTACAGTAGGTGAGAAAAATTGCCAGGAGCAAAATGCAAACAAAGCGCTGGAGAATAGAGATAGTAGGAACTGCAGATGCTGGAGAATCCGAGACAACAAGGTGCAGAGCTGGATGAACACAGCAGGCCAAGCAGCATCATAGGATGCTGCTTGG